TTTTTTTATAAATAAAACATTTCAATTTGTATCAATAATATTTTCCAATTAGAATTCATCAACATTTATATGTTCATGCAAACAAAAAGGAAGTCGTGCCAAAACCTTAGTTGAACTAGCACTAAAAAATATCATGAAATTCATCAACACGCAAGTATTTGTCAAATCACCATGTATATTTCACTTGCAAAATATACTTATAATTATGTCATCACAAAAAATAATAAGAACAACGATGCGTGGCGCTGAAAAGAAAGGCCTAACCCCAACGCCCATTTTAAGCTCGCCTTCTCAGATGCTTGGACTCTCCACATCCCATAATAGAACTAGGGAGCTCGCCTACCTTCTCCACCCCTTCCTCAAAAACAACCCCCATTCCCATGAAGAAGTGAGCTTCAATATGACAATGAAAAGCCCAAACCCCAGGGTTATCAGCCCTAAACCTCAGCGCAGTCCACCCATAAGGGTGCAATGGTACAGTATTCCTCTGAATCGGGTCAAACAAGTTATACTTCTTTGAATCCACCTCTGGATCAAATTTACCCATTCCATACCCTAAAACCCAGAAATCATGCCCATGTAGATGCCATGGATGAGTCTCACTGTTGTTAGCACTCAACGTATTCGCATTCTGCAGGATGACGTCCACCGTGGAACCAAACTCCAATCTATAGACTGAATTGCTGGAAACTGTGTTAGGGTTGCTTGAAACAACATGGATGTTATAGTTCTTATAGTCGTAAGTCTCTGGAGCTGGTTTTTGGCTAAAGACATGTTGCATCTGACTCTTCATGGCTATCAAATAAGGGGTGGTCGGCAGCGTGAAGGAGATGTTGTTGAGTGCCCATTTGATATGGCCATTGATCTTGTTTTGGGTGTTGAGGAGGATGATGAGGCGGTCGGATGTGGGTGGTGGTGCCTCGATAAAGTTGGGGTGGGAGACAATGGACTTGCTTTGGTTGAATCTATACAAGGTGTCGTTCCAAGGTGGGCCTATGGGGGTGGCTGTCGGCGGCGGCTTAAGGGGATGGTTGGGGTAGTAGTTCAGAATGGCAGTACCAGTTGGGGTGTTAGGTTTTCGACTGACCACATTGAGCGCCACCCAATAGTTTCTGGATTTGTCTTCATCAGCTTTCAATATGACTGAGTAAGTCTCGCCGGAATAAATATTCAGATTCTTCACGACGACCGGCTTCACATAATAACCGTCCACTTCAACGATGGTCATAT